AAATGCAGGATTGTTTTATTTGAGTTCATTTGGTCAAAAACACATGACAGGTAACATTACACACTGTTTAAGTAAATACAGGCGTATCGATTATAAGAGTCTTCTTCTTAAAAAAAATAGGATATGCAGCATTTGTGTTTAATGATAGAAATAATAGACTGTATATATGTTTCAGCGTCGTCCTCTTCCTCCTCCTACTCCTCCACCTCCACCCGACAGCCCAAATATGCCCCGCCATCTGCCACGCCGTCCACCCCCGACCCCTCCACAACCACAACAGGAGGATGGAGACGAGGTAATGGACATGCAGGTATTCAATGTAAGCTGTCAAACTCTGTTGCAATTGTGTGAACTTCTCATTTGATTTTTATTTCTCTACAGTATTTAGCCGGCAATGAAGAAGAGGAGGACTTATAATTTATTTTAAATAAATATTTGTAAATAGCATTATGGTCTACTCTTCTCATTTTTTGAAATATACTGTATTTCCAAATCTGTCGAGGTTTTTCAGAGATAAAAAAATTTGATATGTATTCAAAACAACAGAATAAGCTCTAATCCCTAACTGTAAAACTGTGTGACGTGTTTTTGAGCATGTGATGAGCAGTGTTGCCAGATCTCGCGAGACAAATAAGCAACCAGGCCGGTGAAAACAAGCCCAAAACAAGCGACTTTTTCTCATAGACCGTAAAAGAGCTATTTTAGAGCTTTTTTTTTTAAGAAAAGAGCCCCTCTAGGTTTCGGGAAGAGAAAAATAAACTGTGTGCATGGTTTTACAATCCATGGGGATGGATGGTTTTAAACTGCATAAAGATTGTCAATTTACATCCACGTGGACAGATTGGTAAACTGCGCGCAGTTTTTGCTGTGCACACGGTAGCCTATAGCTTGGCTGTCCATCCAGTGTTAGTACTGAGCCCAAATACAATATTACTGAACTCATTTTTGAGATATCAACCGAAAATTTGGAACACAACTTCTTCAGATTTTTGACTTAAATTTTCTTGCAATTTTAAAGTAAAATATATTTTATTTTATATAAAATATTAAAAATTATATTTTTACATTGTTCATTTTTATAAACTCAAACTTGTAACTTTTTTTTCTGTTTCACTTTCATAGTTTCATAATACTTCACTTCAACAATAAATATGGCAAATGTCTTCTTTAAAACAAGATCAAATAGTTTGATGATTATGATATGATCGTCATGTCTTTGCGAAAAAAGGGGGAGTGACAGTTAAAGGGTTAAACTATAATATCTACAAAAAATAATGAATATATAAAAACTCACCTACGGTCCAGTCACTATCAGTCACTCACGACTGGCACGTTATTTTTATTTAAATGTCACTCACTGACGTTTTTCTAACCTGAAAAAAAAACCCTGATTGCCCAGCTTTGCCTCTGATTGGCTAGGACTAGTTGCCACTGGGTCCAAGGGTCAATATTACTACTGCCAAGGGTGGGAAAAAAACTCTGTGAATGGGGGAAGGGAGAGAGGGAACAGGCAAGACAAACTCCTACGTTTAAATAACATATAGAAAATATAGCTGCAAGCAGCAACACGGGGCCAAGCCCAGCAAGGCGCAGCAAGCAGACCAAGCACAGAGCCAGCACATCAAGTACAGCAGTGCAGCAAGCATTTAAGCACCAAGAGCAGTGCAGAGCCGCAAGAACAAAAACAGCACAAATTGAATACACATGTAAATGAAGCACAGTGAGCATTTAAGCACAAACAGCAGTGCAGAGCAGGAAGGAATTGAAATGAAAACTTAATACACAATTTTAAAGTCGCCCCACGTGGGACTCGAACCCACGACCAGAGTGGTTCAGTATTTGAGATACATGGTTTAGCATATTGTGCCACTCAGAGGTTGTGAATTTCAATGCAGCGGGGGAGAGGGTTCAGTGTGAGAATGATTCACAAAAAAGTTCCATGACATGTTATCCAGATTAGCATGCTAAGCTAGCTCAATGCTAAATGTATCTTATGACATGGTACATCCAATCCTGGCAAAATACATATCATTGGATTCGTCAGGACGCAGGGAATGGATAGATACCAATTTTATGATTTTTTGACAAACTGTTCACAAGTTACAGCATCTGATCCAACTCTGGGTCGAACTTGTTCATTTTGCGACACCATATCTTTTGAAGAAAGGTGAATAAAAAAAATCGGGGACAGTACTTTTATGCGGCTCAGTCTGAAGATCATTTGAGTGCATGTTTGGAGAAAATTGGTCAAAATTTGAAGGAGGAGTAGCGAAAAAACTGTTTCACATTCACTCCAACATGGCAGCCAGTCACATTGTTCAAAAGTAAAATATGAGATATCGTTGAAATCGGCATAACCCAAGGAATATTTTGACATATAGAAATCAAATTTTAAGCAATGTTAGCAAAAGTTATAAGCGTTTTTTCAAAAAACAATAATATCTCTGGAACAATAGGTGGCGCTGTGACCAAACTTCTCAGGTACTTTCGGGCCATGCTAATGGTGATCCATACCAATTTTGGTGAAGATATTTCAAATAGTTTAAAAGATATTGCAAATTATGACAAAATTCAAAATGGCAGACACGTGATACATCCCATCATGGCAAAATTGATATCCACAGATTCGGCATGATCCAAAGAATCCATAGATACCACAATTATGATTTTCTGACAAAGTGTTCAAAAGTTATTGGCCAAAATAGCAATTTTGCATATCTCACGACCCGTAGGTGGCGCTATTCCCAACTTTGGCATGGAACCTCAGAACATGGTTCCGATGAAGTGTACCAATTTTCGTTTTGATTGATCAAACTTTGGCCGAGATACAGCCTCTTAGCCAATTTTGGGTGGACCTCGTTAAGTTTGCGACACCATAACTTTTGAACAAAGATGAATAAAAACAATCGGGGACAGTACTTTTATGCGGCTCAGTCCGAAGATCATTTGAGTGCATGTTTGGAGAAAATTGGACAAAATTTGAAGGAGGAGTAGCGAAAAAACTGAGAACTGTACATTTCAAAATGGCCACTACTGTAATGGGCGGGGTCTTAATGTACAGTATTGGTTGTAATCAGCATGATGAGATGAATCAGGTGTACTAAGTTTCATGTCTCTAGAGCAAAGGGTTCAAAAGTTATAACCATTTCAATGTTGAATTTTTGAACTGGTGGTGGCGCTATAGAGTTGGTCCTAGAGGCTCAAAAATTGGTCCAATTACTATTCATTAGCATCACTACAAGTGTGCCAACTTTCATCATTTTCCTACTTACGGTTCATAGGGCTGCCATAGACTCCCATTCACGGAATAATAATAATAATAAGAAGAAAACTAACAGATACAATAGGTGCCTCAGCCCCTTCGGGGCTTGGCCCCTAAATATCTGCTTGGCAACAAGCTGGGAACAAGCCCAAATAAGCAATTACACTTTAGAAAAAAGCCCAAAAAAACGCGACCCGCGACTTTGTAAGAGACTTTACAGAAAAACAAGCCCAAAGTCGCTTAAAATAAGCGAACTTGGCAACACTGGTGATGAGTCTGTGGATATATATTTAAATGGCAGTGTGTTCCTTGTGAAAACAAAAAAAAAGTTAATAAAATGTGTAAACAACATGCAGTGTATTTGTGTCACATTTTATGACACAAGACTGGGAACTGTGTATGAACTATCAATGTTTTATTTGTCAACTGTGAGCTCGCGAATGAACTATAGATGATTGGACAAAATTGGGAGCTTGCGTATGGACTTGATGTTCATGTAAAAGGAGCCTCAGTAGACTCTAAACATTGTAGTTTCATGTAAATGGAGCCTCAGTTTGACCAATGAAATAATTGACTTTGATCTACGTTCTGGAGCTGAAGTGGTTGGATCTCTGACAACCCGGACAGACTGTATTGTAAGTGTGGCAGTAAGCGATATAGGGTTTTACTTTATATTTTCCAGTGATAATTGTCGACTACGCCACCCTGAATAATTCAGGGAATATCTAAAGAACCCAGCAATTTGCATTAGGTCACAGGTTTGTGTGTGCCAGGAAGGTCAGAGACATGTTCAAAGAATTTACAAAAAAAATAGTTTTTATTAATATATAAAAGAGTTAAAAAATGATATGTCCTTGTAAAAAATGAGCGCACAGCGCTACATGCACAAATAATGGCAATTGACAAAAGGTGTCGTCACAGCGGGCAATATATAATGGCTACATCAGCAGTCCTCTACCCACGAGGGTAGGAGGAACAGCAAGAAACTCTACAAAGCTCAATTTACAGGTAATACAAACAAACAATATACCAAACCACCAGGCCGAGTCTGCCGGCGGAAGGACCACTTAATGGCTTTTCCAAAAGCACAATCCAACTCACGCACACACACTTCACCGTGCACCAAATCACACACACACAGGCACTTCAAAAGTGTCACCCACTGCAACACCACCGCTATCACCATACAAGAGAAGGTCCTTCCGCCTGGCCACCTCAGTTCCTGAGAAAACAAATAAACTGAGTTTAATAAAAAAAAAAAACACACAACAATGACCACAGAGAAAATAAAAATAAAATAATCAAGGTCGATAAGGATACGCACACATTTAGATAAAAGCAAAATCTAAACACTATTCACACATTAGGATTCAAAAAAAGATGTACAGCAAAATCGAGCTAATGTAGTGCACACACACCCACACATCGGCTCTCATACAAAGGACAGACCGATTATAACTTTGCGATTGCTTTAGAAGTAAAGGAAGTAGACGATGCAAATCCTGCTGCTGGCCCACGGCGCGATCGCAGCGTAAACACGTGGTTCTCAAATGTACTCAGGTTATTTTGAGCGCAATTCACTGCAGAACGGGAAGAAGATCGTACTGAAGACGAGAGCAAAGAACGGTCCGGAGAATGAGAGAGGAGACCCACGCCTTAAAGAAAGCGAGATGTTACTATTGCTCTTTTACTACAATTTCCATCCATTTTACATAACACTTACCACAAGAGAATATTTCTCGCATACAATTCCCTCTGGCTACTGTTTACAGCAATCATCAAGACCGCTGATTAACTGGGATACAGGAAGCAACACATTATGCCGAGTTCAGACTGCATGATTTTAGCCACGATTTTGGCTCGCCGACAGGTTTTGAGAAATCGCCGACAAATGCCCGAAATCACAGGCAAATCGGCGCTCGTTCACGCGAGTGACAATCACGCAGTGTGAATGAACAAAGACGCGAACTGAGAGAATCACCGACGAGTCGCCGACGCCCGTGAGATATTTGGCATGCTAAATATCTGGACCTGTCGGCGATTCAAAATCCTGCTGTGTGAACCCAGATAGCAAACTGACATTGAATCAACGTGGAAATATGACATCGAAACAACGTTGATCTGACATTGTTTTGCTCATCGAATTAACGTTGAACCAACGTCAGATGCGTCATTCTTTCAAAACTAACGGAAAATCAACTTGAAATCAACGCGTTGTTTCAACGTTATGAAAGCAAACCAATTTTCGATTTCATTTAGCTTTGAAGAATGCCGCGTCTGACGTTGGTTCAACGTTAATTCGATGAGCAAATCAACGTTGTTTCAATGTCATGAGAGACGTCGTTTCCACGTTGATTCAATGTCAGTTTGCTGTCTGGGAAAAGTGTTTTGACTGAAAACTACATCGGCGATCACCGGCAGCCAGTGAGAGAGCAAGATACAGAGCAGCAGGGAGTTCGGGGAGGAGTTATAGATCACATATCAACATGATATGGCATTGTTTCAACAAAAAAAGCTTCTTCTCGGTCTATTTGGACACAATAAATGGAAGAAAAATTAGTAGAAATTTGGCAGGAGCACTCGTGTCTGTTTCACCAGCTGTACCACGGGTCGAAAAAAAAAGTCTCACGTGAGAACTCCGGTCTTGCACGTGTGGTGTCGCGCGTTGTTTCCTTTTCATATCTCACGCGTGTTTGTTGTGAAATGTAGTTTGCGTGCAGCGTGCTAGACAGAGTCTGTCGGCGATTTTTCTAAAGTCATGCAGTGTGAAACCTTCTGTCGCCGATCCATCGTCCAGTTGAACACAGCAGCGACTGAATGCTGGCCAAGATAGTCATGCAGTGTGAAAAGAGCAGCGACCTGACTACTTTGAAAATCGTGCAGTCTGAAAGAGCCATTAACATAGCGACCCATTATTACTGCACCCCAGTACTCAATACAGAGACAGAACCTACCTGAGGGGTGAACAGACACTCACTCTGAACTCATAACGTGCACCGCCGGAAAAGTGCTGATTGACAACTAAATTTGAAAGAATAATATCAGTAAGGTTCCAAACACCTGATTTAAACCAGACGCGATCAAAACATACCTGAGACGCGAGTGAATGACGCACGCGGGGAGGCGGAGTAAAGACGCGACGCATCTCCGGACACAGCCAACCCGCATTAAATAGATGATACTATCCCCTGATAGGATGCCGCAACTGTCAATCACTTAACTAATAATAGGCTTGTTTGAGATGCGCCTCGCCTCGCCTGCAATGTAGTCGAGAGTAGGCGGCTGCAGTGAGGGGATGAGTGAAAAAAGCGCAATAAAGCCGGACAGATCTCGGTTCTCGCAGTGAATCAGACACCTGTGAGATCAAAGGCGGATATCGCGGGATTAACGGGATTCACGCTCGTGCACGTGTTGCTAATAAACTGTTGCTTTTATATAAAAATAAATATAATGAACAAGACACCCAAAGTACTTGTTATTTAATTACATTCCAAATAGCCTATGTGTTTATCAATCTTTTTTTTTCTTTAATACAGACGTGTTTTTAGGCTATATAGGTAGCCTAGCCTTGTTTTAACAAAAATGAAATATAACCCATATGGCACTGTCAGAGAGTTTATTCACCATATGTATACACATAAAACATGATATCAGTTTTAAAATCAAACATTTTAAAAGAGAACAATTCATCTGTTCCCAGACAACAAATTAGATCGTGCCGACGTTGGGGCGCGCGTGGCTGCCCGACATAAAGTGCCTCGGTAAGATGTCTTATGGAGATCGGTAGCTAATCGGCAAGACATTGGGAAGACGGTGGCTTTAGAACGATCGCCGACCGCGAGCCAACGTAAACCCGACATGATCGCCGACCGTGAGCCAACGTATACCCGATATAATTATTATGACCTATTCAGCGCGATCCCACTAGAGCAGGGAAAACATTCAGACGCCTGCCTCGCTCCCTTTGACTTAACACCGGAACAGCTGATTTTCGTCTGCATCGCTGGAAAGGGCACAGCATGCTTGAAAATCAGCTGTTCCGGTGTTAAGTCAAAGGTAACGAGGCTTCTGAATGTTTTTCGCCGCTCTAGTAGGATCCCACCGTTATGTCTAATTATTGATTTGTTTAGGCTAACTGCTGTCAGATTGTTCCAAGGACACAGGTTGCCTATTGTCTATCAACAATCAATAACAATATGATTTGTTAATCGTAACATTTCTTCCCTAACAATTTTGACAATTGCAATTAAATTGAAATGAAATTGAAGTGAAAGTTAAATTGAAAGTTAGTGATTGTGTAGGGTGTAGCCTATTTCAAACAGTCTGACTACCTGGGAAATGTCAGTCTAACATAAAAAATGAATGGATCAGTGTTAGAAGATCAATATTAAAATTAAGTTTGATGGTCATGCAAATTAAGCTAGGAGTTTTCCAGGATAAATAATAAAAAGGAGAGCACCGGAAGATGACCTTGAACATTTATTTTTTACTTTTGTTTTTGCAAAAGCAGTATCATTTATTTTAACACTCATCAAATCACACATAGAAAAGTACAACAACAACAAAAAGAAATTCCCTCCAAAATAGGTAAACAGGAAAAATCAGTCCAATCAATTATTTCACTTTAAGATGCTCGCCCTCTTGCTTTCCTGTCCCGCCTCAGCCGCAGCCAGTTTCTCGCAGTCATCTCTACATCTGCCTCAGTGGAATTTTGTTGGGTAGGATTTCTTAACACAGCACCTACACGAAACAAAATAAAAAATAAATAAAGCAAATTTATACTTTTACTAATTTAGTCTGATGTTCTGAGTAAGAAGTGCAGTAGCATACATTACATATAAAATATCGTACCATTGTTAGTCCTCTGAAGGATCCCTGGAAAAGGCTGCAAAGCACACAGGCTGTCATTATTATCCGGCGGCGTCACTAGAAAATAGAGAAAAACCAAATTATTGGAGTGAACAGTAAGTCAAGTTTATCACAATTATATAAACTAATGTCAGTGAGCTGAGTAATTGCCACACATTTCTATCAGCAGCAACTCATCTTAACCCATGTCAAAATAACAGAGCTAACAATTGTTCTTTTATTTTTATTTTTATTTATTTTACCTTTTTATTAGAATGCAAGTTACAAACAGCCTACCTACAAGCACCACAATTCGTGAAACAAATAGGCCTATTATACAGCGACAAATAAATAAACATCAGAATAAAATTAATAATAAAATAACCTAAATAAATAAATCAAAATAAGCTTAGCTTAAATAGACAGACTTAAAAACTTCATCATCTATAAAATGAGAGCTAGTATTTTTCACTTGAACATTTTAGAGTAGGCCTAGTATATTTGAGTTACTGACTATAGCTTTCTTATTTTTAACCCGTTTAAGAGATTCACAATATAGATCAGTTTCAATTTGAAAAAAATAAATAAATAAAACATGGCCTTGATTTGGAGAATTTAGCTTAATGAATATGGAATTTACCTTCATCACTGTTGTTTAAACCAATGAGCATTAAGCTGTGTCGTCAGCAAGTCGTTTCCCATCATGCTTTTGATCAGCGCAGTCGGTGGAGAGCAACTGCGCGCGACTGCAGAATCCGACCCTTCCGCCTTGCGCTCGCGAGAGTTTTTTGACATACGTCGGCATGACATCAGAGCCAGGCGGACCGTTCTCGGACACATTTCTAACCGGCATGCATCTCGCGCTGATCACCGGTGATCGATTCTGCGCAGAATTTGCTCATCTCAAACAAGCCTAATGTCACAATTTCTATAGGCTTGTTCGACTTCATGCAGCTCTGCGCAGACCGATCGGCGGCTGACTTGAAACAGTGCATGCCGGTTAGAAATTTTGTCCGACTTGATGCAGCGCTGATTCCACGTGACTGTGACATATGCCATCAAAGTACCGCGAGAGCAATACGAGAGTAGCCGGAGGACTCAGCCAGCGCAGCTTCTCAAGAGCGGCTGCACGAGCTCTGATGATGTCACAGCTGTTCCACGATTCGCCGGATTCACCGCATGACAACGATCACGTGCGTTATTTCGTGTTTATTCTCACACGTTTAGTTCCACTAATCAGTATTTTATAACAGTAAACACTCTTTTCATGTAGTCGCAATGTTATATTCCCAGATAGCAAACTGACATTGAATCAACGTGGAAATATGACATCGAAACAACGTTGATCTGACATTGTTTTGCTCATCGAATTAACGTTGAACCAACGTCAGACGCGTCATTCTTTCAAAACTAACGGAAAATCAACTTGAAATCAACGTGTTGTTTCAACGTTATGAAAGCAAACCAATTTTCGATTTCATTTAGCTTTGAAGAATGCCGCGTCTGACGTTGGTTCAACGTTAATTCGATGAGCAAATCAACGTTGTTTCAATGTCATGAGAGACGTCGTTTCCACGTTGATTCAATGTCAGTTTGCTGTCTGGGTTGTGTCATGTTTATCATGTTTCTCAAAATAAAACTGATTCAAAAACGTGGATTCCACGTCATTGATTATAGGCTTATTTTTAACTTTATTCTAGTTCAAACAGATGCTGTATGAAGCAGTAAAGTATTGAATGAAAATGTGTCTGAAATATCTGTTTATTTGGCAAATGTTGCATTTATTTCACTTCAGCTGTGGTATAAGCATGCAAACACCACGTGAGCCGTCACTACGGGAACCAGAAATTGTCCGACTTCACGTCTCCGTTTGCAGCTCCTCCCCGCCTGCACGCGGCTGTTCTCGCCGATCGGTTGCATCCAGCCGCAGGCGATGTCGAACACACCTCAGGCCTCGGCCCTTTTTTTTTTTTTTTTTTTACGGCCATCATGACTGATTAATGTGTTATATTAGGCTTGTTTGAGATGCGCCTCGCCTCGCCTGCAATGTAGTCGAGAGTAGGCGGCTGCAGTTAGAGGAGGAGTGAAAAAAGCGCAATCAAGCCGGACAAATCTCGGTTCTCGCAGTGAATCAGACACCTGTGAGATCAAAGTCTGATATCGCGGGATTCATGGGATTCACGCTCGTGCACGTGTTGCTAATAAACTGGATGTGATTTAAGTTCTGTTGCTTTTATATGAAAATAAATATAATGAACAAGACACCCAAAGTACTTGTTATTTAATTAGGCTACATTCCAAATATGTGTTTATCAATCATTTTTTATTTAATACAGATGTGTTTTTATATTTTTTTATTTAGTTTATACACATAGCCTAAAACATGATAGGCCTATCAGTTTTAAAATCAAACATTTTAAAAGAGAACAATTCATCACTGTTGTTTTTTTATTATGTATTTTATTTTTTATTAGAATGCAAGTTACAAACATACAAGCACTACAATTCGTGAAACAAATATTATACAGCGACAAATAAATAAACATCAGAATAAAATGAATAATAAAAAAAATCAAAATAAATCAAAATAAGTTTAGTTTAAATAGACAGACTTAATAACTTCATCATCTGAGAGAAATTTTCTTAATTTTCACTTTAAAATTTTAGAGTATATTTGAGTTACTGACATAGCTTTCTTATTAACCCGTTTAAGAGACTCACAATATATCAGTTTCAATTTGAAAAAAAATAATAATAATAAAACATGGCCTTTATTTGGAGAATTTAGCTTTATGAATATGGAATTTACCTACATCACTGTTGTTTAAACCAATGAGCATTAAGCAGTGTCGTCAGCAAGTCGTTTCCCATCATGCTTTTGATCAGCGCAGTCGGTGGAGAGCAACTGCGCTCGACTGCAGAATCCGACCCTTCCGCCTTGCGCTCGCGAGAGTTTTTTGACATACGTCGGCATGACATCAGAGCCAGGCGGACCGTTCTCGGACACATTTCTAACCGGCATGCATCTCGCGCTGATCACCGGTGATCGATTCTGCGCAGATTTTGCTCATCTCAAACAAGCCTATTCCTAACGTTAAGTAAACTGCGGTCCATATTTCATAAACAGGAATAAGAATCCCAATTTCATATCAATATAACGAATACTGAGAGGATATAAGTGAAGGTTCTTATCAAAACGAACACATTAGACGGAAGACAAGAGACCGTTAACGTTGACACAATCGCCTCACGAAGGTTATTACTCCTCACACATTACTATCGTAATGCTTAATGGAAATTAACTAGTATTCGTGTTTCAGCAGTTATAAACATATAATCACATACTTTTAACTGCATCCCACTCGTTGACACATTTTAATTCCCTTATTCTCTTACTCACCTGAATCAAAACAAACAGTCGGACCGGAAGAATCCAGAATGACAGTTGAGCAAAATTCAGCGATCTCATTTGTTATGCAACATTTAACGATCTCATTGGCCAACCGTTATATTCGTTAAAACACCAAAAATACCAGAACCTTTATAAAACAAATAATTAACAACATAATGGAGTAAATAATCAAAATTAATTTAATCCATCACCAATAAAAAATAAATTGTATTTATATAAAAAAAAAGCTTCAAAATTATGGCAGCTAATTAGCTGTGCACAATTCCTTTTTAACCCCCAAATATGTAACTAATATATTAGGAGGGACCAAATTATACTTTGATTATACAATAAATTATACAATATGGTGAACTGATATAATGTGATGTACAACAGTTGGTAAAGCCAAACCGTTGGTTATGATTTACTAACGTAGTCCTCAGATCACTGAAAAGGGCTAAGGGCAGACTGGAGTTGTAGCAGGTCAATCTTTCAGGCTTTCTGACAATTACAATTTTTCCTGTTATGCAATGAAGTGAAAGTTCTGTGTTTAACCCATCCAAGTTAGGGCACACACATTAAGAAAGCTCTGGATATAACCTTATTACAGCCATTTGACCAAAAACCCATAGTACTCGTTTCTGAGTTTTGGATTAATTAATAATAAAGACATCAATATAATAAAACATAACATAACTTTAATTTAAATTAACAGCATAACAAATTAGAACATGTGTGAACATTTATAGGGTATAATTAAGACATCAATATAATAAAACATAACATAACTTTAATTTAAATGAACAGTGTAACAAATTAGAACATTTATGAACATTTAAAGGGTTAGGTCGATGTTTCACACTTAAAGGGTTAGTTCACCCAAAAATGAAAATTCTGTCAGTCACCCTCATGTTGTTCCAAACCTCTATGTGTTTTTTGTTCTGCTGAACACAAAGGAAGATATTTGGAAGAATGTTTTAATCAAACACATCTCATTCCCCATTGACTACCATAGTATGTATTTTTTCCTACTATGGTAGTCAATGGGGAATGAGATCTGTTTGATTAAAACATTCTTCCAAATATCTTACTTTGTGACACATAGAGGTTTGACAACGAGTGTGAGTAAATACTGACAGAATTTTCATTTTTGGGTGAACTAACCCTTTAAAGCCCTGTTTTAAGATAGTTTCTGATGAAATGGAACAGTCGAGATTAAAATTTGGACAAAGCAGCTGTCCTGAGAATTTTCGGTGTCTGTGGTCACACACACCACCCCCCACAATGGTTGTCATGGGGGGGGGGGGGGGGGGGCTTAATACAGAAGCCTAAAATTCTTGGGACGGCAGCATTTGTCCAAATTTCATTTCAATCTTTACCATTCCATTTCACCATAAACGATCTTAAAACATGGCTTTAAGTGTAAAATATTGAACTAACCCTTTAACATCAGTGTTTTAACACTAACACACACACACACACACACACACACATCTGTGGACACACAGAGGTAAGCTGGTGTCTCTTCCAGTGCTACTGTCTCTCCTGTCCACACACTGGGGGAGGGGAAAATAGAGAAAGAGAGAGAGACAATAGAAAAGGTGAAAATTAGAGAAAAAACAAAACCATTGGTCAAAAGGTTACTGTCCTGCATCATGTGCCTTGGTGATATATTTTGATTCGCTGATTGGACTGGTGCCAAGTTTAAGACCACTGTCCTCAACCCTACTTGACCATTCTTCAACAACTAGGCCTACAAGTCAGGTGAGACCCTTTTTACTTCAACAAACTTTTTCCACTTGGGCTAATTCAAATTAAATTCAGGACTGTTATGAAGTTAAGGTGAAATGACAGTATAATAAAATATTTTCTGACAGGATTTTGTATCAGAGTAGGGGTTTTGACTGAAAAATGTATTTTCTGAAGTAATTTTTCCAATTAATTCGAATAAAATTCATGATTTTTATGAATTTAAGGTGAAATGACATTATAAGAAAATATTTTCTGACAGGATTTTGTCTCAGAGTAGGGGTTTTGACTGAAAATGTATTTTCTGAAGTAATTTTTCCACTTAATTCGAATAAAATTCATGATTTTTATGAAGTTAAGGTGAAATGACATTATAAGAAAATATTTTCTGACAGGATTTTGTCTCAGAGTAGGGGTTTTGACTGAAAAATGTATTTTCTGAAGTAATTTTTCCACTTAATTCGAATAAAATTCATGATTTTTATGAAGTTAAGGTGAAATGACAGTATAAGAAAATATTTTCTGACAGGATTTTGTCTCAAGAGTAGGGGTTCTGACTGAAAAATGTATTTTCTGAAGTAACTTTTCCACTTAATTCGAATAAAATTCATGATTTTTATGAAGTTAAGCTGAAATGACAGTATAATAAAATATTTTCTGACAGGATTTTGTCTCAGAGTAGGGGTTCTGACTGAAAAATGTATTTTCTGAAGTAACTTTTCCACTTAATTCGAATAAAATTCATGATTTTTATGAAGTTAAGCTGAAATGACAGTATAAGAAAATATTTTCTGACAGGATTTTGTCTCAGAGTAGGGGTTCTGACTGAAAAATGTATTTTCTGAAGTAATTTTTCCACTTAATTCGAATAAAATTCATGATTTTTATGAAGTTAAGCTGAAATGACAGTATAAGAAAATATTTTCTGACAGGATTTTGTCTCAGAGTAGGGGTTCTGACTGAAAAATGTATTTTCTGGAGTAATTTTTCCACTTAATTCGAATAAAATTCATGATTTTTATGAAGTTAAGCTGAAATGACAGTATAAGAAAATATTTTCTGACAGGATTTTGTCTCAGAGTAGGGGTTCTGACTGAAAAATGTATTTTCTGAAGTAACTTTTCCACTTAATTCGAATAAAATTCATGATTTTTATGAAGTTAAGCTGAAATGACAGTATAAGAAAATATTTTCTGACAGGATTTATCAATTTTTTGGTGCTAACGTACTTAACTCAAACCCTGGTCAGAGTTTAACTCACCGTAATAAATGATGGAAAAGTGGAGTGATGTGTGCACCTGAGACTCAGCTGCTTCTCCTCGTTCGATTTGCTGTATGTTTACATGCGTGTGAGCGGCCAACATGGCCGCCACGCCAGTAATGACGTCACGACGCCCAAGCCCTATAGGAAAATTCAACTGCAGTAGCCACTATTCAACCTGAAGAGGGTAGCACACAAGTGTTTACAGCATTGTAGAATTAAAACACTTTATATGTTAAATGTTAAAAGTTAATTAAAAAATATAAAATTTCCACTTATTTCAAATTAAATTCATGATTTTTATTGTTATATTATGACGGGATTTGATTTCAGAGGAAGGGTTCCGACTCAAATAAGTGGATAAATTACTTCAGAAATACATTTTTCAAATTAAATTAATGTTTTTTGTTTTTTTTTATGAGAGAGGATAAATTATTGTAAAACAAAAGTAAATAATAGTTGCCAGAGTTTTTACATGTACCTTTCTCTGCCTTCTCTTCAGCATGGCAACTCCGACTCAGACTCCATCTCCATTTCTGCGGTGCAAGTGTATTGCAACTAAAATTAATCACCGAACCCTGAGCTATAAAAAGGGACCAAAAATTGAAATAGCCAGATTCAAAACTGAATGTTTGAGTGCATTGACCGATGGCTCACAAACATACTTAAATAAAAAAGAGGGATTTACCCCAGAATTTGAGGAGGGGGTTAGCTATGTCCTCCAAAAATACACCCTGTCCAATACATATGGGCAGATTTATTTGTTTGTTGGCCCTGGCACATTGAAATTTAAAACGGTCCCAATGGACATCCCAGAGGAGGCAAGTGATCAAGCCAAACTTGCCCTGTGTCCTGCTTCACCAATGGTGAGTGGTGAAGAGGAGGACATTTATTCACGGGGTGGATACCTCAGCCTCAAGGGGAAGATCATAGAAGTGAGTACATTTTCTATCTGTCTAATACATTTTGCAGTATATAATATAATTGACTAACTTGACATCATTACGTCCTCATCATTCAGTTACCTTAAGTTATTAAGTTGCCTAAAACAGGAAATTGTAAAAAAAAAAAAATTGTAAATAAATAACAGTGATAAAGTGATAATCACCGTGTTCTGCAATACCTGTGCCAAATTCAATTATATTGTTAATTTTGTATGTGAGCTGAATAGTCTCAAAAACATACTAAATCAATTACAACACTGTATTATATTAATTTTGAAATAGTTTGTGCACCTAATGGGTGGTTCAAAGTTGTCAAAATGTTGTCAAAGTTGTGAAAGTCAACATAAATTAAAAGGACAAACCAGTCGAGTAAGACTGTTGACACCATACACCCTCAGATTTTCACCATATATTTCCATCTGACTGACTTTATCTGTCACTATGGCACTGTGATTTAAAGGGTTAGTTCACCCAAAAATGAAAATTCTGTCAGTATTTACTCACCGTCATGTTGTTGCAAACCTCTATGTGTTTATTTGTTCTGCTGAACACAAAGGAAGATATTTGGAAGAATGTTTTAATCAAATCCCGTTGACTACCATAGTAGGAAAAAATACATACTATGGTAGTCTGTGATTAAAACATTCTTCCAAATATCTTCCTTTGTGTTCAGCAGAACAAATAAACACATAGAGGTTTGGAACAACTTGAGGGTGAGTAAACGATGATAGAATTTTTATTTTTGGGTGAACTATCCCTTTAAACACATGTTCAGGAAACCTCAACACTAAAAACTTTGGATTTTTCCCATATTTGGAAAACAAATCATGTAAATCATATAATTAAAATAGAAATTCAATGTTGAGGAACTCCAGGAATTTAACTGAGAAACAGAACTGTATTATAATCACTTATGATTTTCTCACTTTAATATTTCCAGTTGCGTGGCGTGAGGATGACCAGGACAAATGTCCCCATTCTGGACATGCGGCTCCAGTCTGGAGGCAAGTCCTTTGACGTGTCGCTGTGGAGAGACGAGGCGCTGACGGACCTCTGCGTGGGTGACGAGGTGGTGCTCACACACCTTCGCCCCTGCATTTTTAAGAATGGCCAGGGGAAATTCCACTCCTCAGCCTACACGTCTGTGCAGGTACATAATGCACAACTGCTGCCATAGTTTACACTGAAAAATAGGAAACGTTTTTGGAGATGTAAACCTACATTTCAATTAAAAAATATCACATGAACGAAAGCAACAAAAGCAAACTGTTCAGAATATCAGCATGACTGTAATCTGATAATAGGCTAGAATTGCAAGTGTGTTTTCTAATACAACAGGTCAATAAACAAGAATTTAATATACAGAAAAGCAAAATTGTACAAAAAGAAATACTTACATTGAGGTGTTTTTAGTACTAATACACTGACATTTCCCACATTGATTTCTTTCCACAGATACCTGAGGCCAGGTTGAGGAAACTGAGGCAGAAATCATTGGTGTCACTGACGTAAATGAGACCTGCCACTTCCTCAGCAGTAAATCGGAAGTGTTCATTATACCATCAACGGTCTTTCCTGGCAACCCAGATGACCTAATAACAAGATTACCCATGAAACTTGTGCTGAAGCACATTAATAGACGGGTCTTGCAGATCCGCGAGAGGGAGAGCTCAGAATAGCCTGGAGAATAGCCTGCTCCCTCAACCATTTTTCTAAATTTATTTAAAGTGTTTGTGTTCTGGGGAAAATGATTTAATTGTTATTGTTTAGTTTAGTTTAGTTTAGTTTATTGTTCTGTAGTTTGTTCGAAAATAAAATATAATTTCACATTTCAGTGTTGTCTTGTCTATCATCCGTATATTTTTGACAATAATGCATACCCTCTAATTACCTGCAGAATAGTAACACTGTTTTGCTTACCTGTTGTGATACAATATAATGATCGAGAAATTCGTGGACCTTTGTCACCCATTTGAATGCAACACTGTGGGAGAATTGAAACAAAAAAGTTAAAATCTTACAACAAGTGTGAAATTACACAAATATAATGCAAAATACATTAATTGAGATCTATCAACAAAGTCATACATTTGTCATACATGTAACAGAATGTAGTCCCTGTCAATTATTAATCCTATCCTGATTGTAAAAAAGTGAAGCTTGCACTTTTAATCACATTGTGATCCAGTGTTTCCCGACTCAGGACAACATGGTAACAGGTATGAAATTAAAATCCCCTCAGGTTCCCTCAAGAGTTTTAGAATCGTGTTTTTTCAATTTAGGAGTAAAATTACATACATGTTTAATAAAATTGCATAAATTACACAGACCCATACCAAAAACACGAGTTTTAAAAGCACCGGTTGATTCTCAATGACTCACTCAATAAAAGTGAATTGCTGCCACCTAGTGGCGGTTTTAAAATAACATTTAAATTTTAAGTTAAATTTGAAATTATTTCAAAAGTAAAGTATTAAACATTTCATGTTTAAATCGAAGCATGAAAAAAGTCCTTTACTTATTAAGTCATTACTCATTCCGTGTGAGCTGCATTAAATAATGCTATTTCAGATGCTGTAACTGTTTTTCCTTAGCATTGCACATTTTAATTTCTACACTTATTTCTTCCGCTCTATTGTGTCTTTTTATTGTAATTCAATTTATTGTCGTTTTTTCGTAACTTCATAAAACAAATCATGAATTTAATTCAGAAAATAAAAATTTTCTTTCAGAGCCCATCTCAGACCAAATCCTGTATTTGTTTTAATTAATTAATTAAATGTAAGAATTCACACATCTAGCAGACAGCATTCCCCAAAAGATTGAAGCTATTTTCAAAACAACGTTTTAACTTGTAAGTGAAAAGCATCATTCATTATTGTCGAACATTGTTCGTGATAAAATTATTAAAAGTCATTACAATCATATAGTAAACGTTTTTTGTGTGTCGCACAGTCAAGAACCGTTTATGAAGTAGTTAATTGCTTTTATGCATAAGAAAATCAAGACATTATTATTTTAGTAGCATGAAAAACAAAATTATAAATCAAAATCTTTCTTACATCGTATCTGCACTTTCCCCTGACAGAATTCGCAATCTGACTGAGGTGTTGAACGAGGAACTCCCGCGAATTAGCATTACCTTTCTTCATCGGTAACTAATCTATACTCATAGACATATACACTAGACCTCACCTTGGATACGGCAGTTCATTGGAACGAATGCGTCAATAGAGCCGCCATCTTGAAACAGGGGAGCCCCTCCACTTTAATGCATCAGCGTCAATGTAGTAGACGCAGGTCTAACGAAAATAAAATCATCACAAATCATCATGAATGCGATTTTTCTTGCGATTGTTTTTTGGTTTGTTCCAACGGTCAGACATGTATTTATCATTGATTCCAGAAAGAAAATTTAAAAAAAATTTTTTTTAAATTTTTTGTAAAACATTCTTCCTAGTTCAGATTTCATCCGTGAACTTCATACGCTGCACAAAAGTCCGCCACCATCAATGAATTCGAAGTAAAGGCAGAGATAGCAGCGTTACCTAGCTACTTCCTATGAGAAGACCCCTGTTCCAAGATGGCGGCGGTTTTGACGCATGCTTAGAACCCCCAGTTGAGGTCTAGTGTATATGTCTATGATCTATACCAACCTGATTGGTTATTGCATTATGAGCTCAGTAGAGACTTCTGTGATTGGTGGTAATGCTAAACGCTGAAAATCTTGCATGTCACGTGAGCATCTTTAACTGTAATGACGCAACACTTTTTTTCTTCACATTTCACCTCAATAGTGCAGAGTCATGATAGATTAATTTTGATTGTGTTGTAGATATTGTTTAACCATGTCCAATATGCTGTCCATTTTAGAGGGAGCAATTGTGTCTCAAAATGTAGCAACTTAATTTCCTCATTACCTTCACCTGGTTACTGTGACAACGCGCGTCCGTGTAATTTCCTTATTATTACTAGTTGTTGCTAGACCTTATTATGCACCAGAGAAACATGGGCGCCGTCTTCTTTAGAATATTGTCTTTGAACTTCCGTTTTTGCGGTCGCTCTGTATATTTCTATGGCAACGTTGTCAAGGAGTAATTAGCTGGTGAAGTCGATTTACTTATTGTAGAGTTAACAAAAGTTATCATGAGCATTGTAATGTTTATCATTGTAAAGTAGATGTCTTAACAAATGTCGACCGGGATTTTTTTTTATGAGCAGTTCATTCATACCTATGTATGCAAGAGGAAGTCAAAAGACAGATTAGCGCTGAAAAGGGGCGGGGCTACATAAGGTCTATAAAAGTTAAAATGAACATTTTAAAATATCACTGATAAAATAAAATCTATCTATCTATCTATCTATCTATCTATCTATCTATCTATCTATCTATCTATCTATCTATCTATCTATCTCTTTTTAACTCTATCTATCTATCTATCTATCTATCTATCTATCTATCTATCTATCTAACGTTAAACTTAATTTAAACTTTAGACTAATTTAAACTTCAAACTACTTTAAACTACTTCAAACTACTTTAAACTTCTTCAAACTTTCTGTTCCAAACTTTCACAAGCCAACCTATAAAACTGTTGTGTTTATATTAGTGACAATGAGCATTAATCAAGATCAGCTAAACGTAGTTGTATGTCCCCTCCTATCTATTATGGAAGATCAAGTTAAGTTTGAGGGCAAACATGAAACAACAGACGCTGACTTCGCAGCTGGCCGATTCAGTATTCATATATAGGGCGCACACTGGATTATAAGGCGCATAAGACACTGCAGAGTCAAATGTTTGACTGGGTTTGCGTTATGCATCCACTAGATGTGCTAAACTAAAGGCTAAAGGGAATGTAGCGAGTGCGCGGCGCCGGAGGTGAGGCGTTTATTTAGTAGGCGTGAGCGCGCTGGGGCGGGGACGTAACTTACATTCGCAGCCTGACTCATCATGTGAGTATTCAATGTGCGGCGGCTCGCTAACAGCTACAGCTGGAGACGAGCCGGTTACTGTGAACGGGGAGCGCTTTATGAACATTCGGTGACGCACGAGCAGCGCCGGGAGTGTCTGTTAAGAATGAGCGCTCATGAGCGGGCACGTGATTTACACACATAACCTGATTTATACGAGGTTGAACTGGCCGTGTGACAAAGCGGACATAAGATGGACATGAGCGCGAGTTCGTGGGTGAATTTAATAACGCGGAGCGATGTTAACGAGCGCCTCCGGTGACTGCTGACTGACTTGTTGCACGCCGGTCTGTTGTTGTGGGGACATTTCCACGCCCCGAAACGTGACACTGAACGAAACGAACTGTAATTGGTTGTTTGACATGTCGGTCAAACGGCCTTATGGGCGGGCCTTGGCCAAAGAAAGCTGCTATGAATTCCAGACCTTCAGCCGTCAGTCTGAAGGTCTGGCTACGCGAGACTAACTTAGCCCTAACGCAACGTAACCATTGGGCTATTATTCTGCAGACACAAGTGCTGAGGATGGCATAGGTCCAGGGAAGCCCGGTGCCCGTTCTGGACCTGTCCCTTAGATGTGGCCAGAAGTTCCTGGACATCACCTTATGGAGGGATGAGGCCTTGTGTGAGCTCTACCTTTGGAGATGAGGTGGAGCATACACACCTCAAGGTGTTTGTCTGGGACTGTGGAAACGGGAAGCTGAATTCCTCTAATTACACCACTGTGACGGTACACAATGCAAAACACATGCTTCTCTAGAACTGGGGATGCACAATATTAAGATTTTTGCAACAATTTCAACAAATTTTGGCCACCATGCGATTATACATCTCTCTTTATTATTTATATTAATTTACAAGTGTTTTGTTTGAGTCAGACCATTAAAGCCACAATATGTATTTTTTCTGCTTTAAAAATAGCAAAAATAACTGTATCTATGTTATATATTTCTATTATATGTGTAATTATATTATCCCGACAGTTTCCACCAACTTTCAAATTCGGAGAAATTTATAGTTTAATTCGAAGACACGGGACGTTTCTTTATTTCCGTTTCGTCGCCCGTCTATGCCGTCATATAACCTTTGACTCCTCTATTTTCTCTAACTTCCTTGCGGAACCAGGCGAAACCGTCAAACACAAAGGGGAACACTGGACTACCGTCAATAAAGCAAAGAAAATGACGAAGAAAAAAAAGCAGTACGTATTTTTATGTGTGTAAATCACGTGCCCGCTCACGAGCGCTCACTCTTAACAGACACACTGTCCCCGGTGCTGCTCGCGCATAAAGCGCTCCCCGTTCTCAGTAACCGGGTCGTCTCATTCAAAACAGCCAACTGTTGCTGTTAGCGAGATGATGTAAAGATTCCACATTTCACTTTATAGGTCTCTGAGAGGGCAATGAAGACAGTCGAGGTTAGCCTAGAAATCTAGATGCACACTGGCGGCAGCAAAAATTATTTTTGCAGCAAAGTGTGGTCTCAACTCTCCATAGACATTTTAGCTGGAAAACCCCAACTCTGGTAGGGTCAATCACATCGTGTATAGAGTCGGCGGGCGGGCTTAACATAGTGATGACAGAGTTGGGACGATCACAGTAAGCTCGGACATATTTGGTTTTAAGTCGTTCATCCTCGGATGCGGCCGGCACCACGCACGCTCTACAAAAAAGCTGTGGCGAAACGATCAAATTGTCATTTTTGCCGCACTCGTGCTGTAGCGTCTAATATAAAGGCTTTGCGCGCTCTGATCGGTAAGGTACTGCGGTCAAGTGGGCCGCGCTTGGAAAATACACGGTCAAGCCAGCCGCACATTTTTTTTATTATGCGCGTCAAATCCTGCACTTACGGTATGGGTGCTGAAAGACGCCCAAATTGATTTTAAGACTCCTTTTCCTGCTATTTTCCATCGTATTAGGACACAAATAATACTATTTCATGATTTTTTCCTAAAACATGACTTTTAATATTGTTTGTTTGTTGTTATTTGTAATGTTTCTAGGCTTAAATATTAATTATAC